AGTCAATACAAGAAAATCAAACTCACAATCACTCCTTACTTTCATATTATGCAACCTTACATATTCATCCAACCACTGTTTAGAAACTACTCAAATGTTTCAGCCATCTTATTAGCTAACTTGTCAAATTTCCCACCAGTCCCTAGAGAATACCATTTTTAGATACTTCAGACCCAAGATTTTAGATGTGTCTGATTCCTCTCCCTCCTCCAATTTCTCAGAATTGATATTACTTTATTAAACCCTAAGCCACTTTCATATAAATTCACCTAAGAACATCTCTATTCCAAACCAACCTTTTAAAATTATAAAAAAAAAAAAAAACTTTAATTTTTTTCTCCCCATGATGCTGGGGACTGAACCCAGGGCCTTGTGCATGTGAGGCAAGCATTCTACCAATTGGGCTATATCCCCAGCCCTAAAATAACTTTAAGAATAAATCAATTTTAATTCTACTTAAGTACAAAGTTAGAGGAATAAAAGTTTAAAGGTAATTTTTGATACACAAAATTAACACATCCCTCCCCCCAAAATAGAGAAATAGACACCATACACATTTCTAGTAGTAGTGGCGTAAGGTATCCTTATGGAAGACAATTAGTAATAAAAGCAAAGCCTATCATTCAACAATTACTCATCTAGGAATTTATACTATGGAAAAGAGATATGTACATATTTTTCCCACATGGCTAGTTATCAAAGCATTTTCTATAAAAAGTAAAAAGTCAGAAATATCTAAATATCCAGATATAGGGAACTGGCTGAGTAAATCATGATAACAATTATGCAAAGAAGTATTTTGCAGATGTTTAGGAAAAACTCAGTGGAAAAGTAGGTTAACAACCAACATCTGTCTCCACTTTTCTCTTATAAATGTTCATGTACATAAACAAAATGTAAATATATTCAAATGCAAACATTCCAGTAATCAGGACACAGTGGCTATCTGCTGCTATAAAAAGTTCCCACTGATAAAAACATTTATTAGTATGTACTACATTGCACAGCTCCAGGTCAAGAGGATAGGATAAAGTTGTCCAAGATTATTCTAGGTCTTCCAGAGACACGTGTGCTAATTTAACCTCACAAGTTAGAAGACAACATATAAATGCAGAACAAATTAAAAAAGGCTTAATCATGATGAAAATAGGGAAAACATCAAAGTAATTTCATCTGAAATACTTGAAGGTGAGATAATGTCAACAGAGTAGATGGACAAAGGGTAAAGCAGGCCCATCAGGCATATAAGGCTCGTGGCCCAAAGACAGAAAATTTTGCTGTGAGACACGACAAAAAACTTGAGTGCCCAGTTCACAGTAAATGCTTAATGAGATGCTGCTATAAACATTTTTTAAACTTCTAGTGAATAAAAAGAACATCTAAAGGCTACTTTCAAATACAGTAGCTTTAGAAGAAAACATTCAAATCACAATTTACAATATAAATTACAAATATGCATCATAAATAAAATGAGTTATAATGAAATAGTTACCTTTTTGATGAACTTTTCTACTATTTGAACTACATGCTTATAAAGCTGAAAAGAATAAAAAAAATTATTGGCAAGTTTAATACTTTCTACATTTCCTATAGTTTTCAAAAATACTTAATATTTATTAAAAAAAAACCTTGAAATGTATACAATTAAAAAATTATCAAGATAATACCAAAGAAAAGATGAGAAATAATCCGAAAGCAAAAAAATGGGGAAAGAATCATAAATAACAAATTAGAAAGGAATTAGCTAAAACAAAAACTACAAAATTAACCCTAAACAGAAGGTCCTTCCATTGGATTTTTTCGGGCGAGGGGGCAGGGATTGAATCCAGAAGTAATTAACTACTGAGCTCATCTTCACCCCTTTTTATTTTGAGACAGGGTTTTGCTAAGTTGCTCAGGGCTTCACTAACTGGTGAGGCTGGCTTTGAACTTGTGATCCTCCTGTCTCAGCCTCCCAAACCGCTGGGATTACAGGCAAGTATCACCATGCACAGCCTTCTATTGGATTTTTAATCAATAAACTTTCATAAAGCAGGATATTAGGCAATCTTATAGAAGGAACAACAACAACAACAATGGAATTAGAACTAAGCAATGCAGTTTCTATAAAATGAGTCATTTAAGTGTGATCTTGGGTATGCCATTTAAATTCATGGAACCTGATTTTTTTTTTCCTTTCTTATAAGAAAGAAGCTAATAGCTGCTGGTTTATAACAAGGATTAAAATGAAATAAAGAAAAAAAACCCTGAAATAACATACAATTCAAAGGCACACAGTATTATCATGAACCTTCAGCAAAAGCATATTAGTGTCCTTTGATGAAGATGAATAACATTTTCAAAATTTCAAAAACACTTTTATATTAAATATATTTATTTTATTCTTACCTTAATAGCTTTTATAGCAGCTTTAGTAATGAGAATCATCTTGGCTCTAGAGATGGGAGGTTTCATATCCATAAGTGAAAAGAGCTTTTAAAAAAAAAAAAAAAAAAAGTAAATTCAGAGGTCAATTCCCTTGTTCTACAAAAATATTTACAATCCAAAGAGAATACAAAACTGTTGGGACTAAACAATTTGGCTAGTAAGTAAAAATCATGAAGTTTCCTACCTTAAAAAATAACACTTAGAAAATACAACAGAAAAATATCATATTAAAAATAACGAAGAAAAAAACTTCATGGATTTTGAGGTAAAAACATTAAGAAATTTGCAAAACTTGTAATAGAAAAAATTATAGGACTTTATCAAAGAACGAAAAAAATGATTTGAATAGAAACAAACACCATGTTCCTGGACTAAATGTGGCAATAAGTGGGACTGTCAATATTTAATGCAATATAAAATCAAATCTCTTTTGAGATTTTAGAGAACTTCAAATAATTCTACGGTTCATACGGAGAAAACAGGCAAGAAACTTTAAATGCCATTATAAAGTTCCATTAATCTGTGATGTAATATAGGAATTCAAAATTTCTTCATTTAGTCAATAAGACCAACAGCCCATTATTAAAAGGTCAACACCTTAATCAAGTGCTCCCATGAGATCTAACCACACATTAATACTTCTTCCCTCAAAGATTTAAATGTAACCAAGAAAGTTATAAAGATAAAATCCTGACAAAAGAAGCGTATATCTATCTAGCTTCTTAAATTCTTGTGTTTTGTTTACTTGTAGACATACACTCACTGGAGATATTAAGAAGTTATTTTGAAGTACATTTCAGGGATTCCTAAGCTTTATCAATCTTCTTTTGAATCACATTTCCATTCATTTTTAATTAATATCAATATGCAATTATGGACCCAGTGGATATTAACTAGCTGCTGCAAAGAAGCAAGCCTAAAGAGATTCTGTCGTAGAGTGCTTGCCTAGTGTGCTTGAAGCCCTCAATTCAATTCCCAGTACTGCCCATCTCCCTTGTCAAGTCTTTTTTCCCCAAGGTAAATAGCCCTACCTGGTAGCATATCCTAAAAATTCATAATTTTCAGTTTTCCAAAACTAGACACAATGGTACAACAGATATATGAAATGCTGGATATAAGACCAGATACTCTAAATAGAAAGGGGTAGAATTTTTCTATAAATATTAAACAGGAGAAATGCTTAACATCCCTATTTACATAGGAATTTTGTGAAAAGAGATCGTCTAGGCTGTGATTTTAAATTTCATTATTTTATTTACCAACATTATTAAAAATTTCTCTTGGAGAATAAACACTAAGTGAAAAACAATGAGAAATAAAATAGTCATCACTGAAGCTATATAAACCAATGAGGAACTAAAACAAAAATTTAAATATTTCAGCACTTCTTTATCATTTTAGCAGTAAGAAACTGCCTGTATTTAAAAAAAAATCAAATATGCATACAAATTAATACAGCTTCTGAGGAAAAACTCATTGGTATTTAAATTACCATATTTATTTAAAAATTAACATACAGTCTCTATCATATAGCAATATAATCATCAGACAAAAAACAAGAGAACTGTTAAGGTATCATCATCTATGAGACAGTCCAAGTGTGTCCAAAAATAAAGGAGGATGGGAAAAGAAGAACCAATATTTGCATACCTACCATGTATCATGTATAGCTGTTTTGAGAAGATGCTCAAAAAGGTTACATAGTCTGTTTTATACAACATACAGAAAATGGATCTGAACTAAAATTTGTTGATTCTAAAGCTCACACTCCTAAGCACACTCATATTCTCACCTTATACAATGCTGCTTACTGATTATATTTGTACAGAGACTATGATAAGGAATTCGGTGGTGGGAGCTGTCAGGCAGGTATCTGAATATCCTGCTTAAATATCACATTGATACAGGGAGAACAATGAATCTTATTTAATTTGGGATGTCTACCGAAAATCCTGGCAAAGACAGGAGGATGGATCTCCAACACGAAGACAAGGCCAGGCTAGAAAAGAAAAGTTACCGAACTGAAGTCATAAGGATAGGTTAGAAGAAGCCTGTTTGCTAAGAGAGCTCAGGACACCATAGATGGCTAGGGTATACAAAAAAAAAAAAAAAAAAATTCAAGGCAGCTGGCACTGTCAGATGCAAACCAAACTTTGTTTTTTCCCCTTTCAATTAATTGGCTGAAAAGTGATCTCAGTTTTGAAAGTGATTCCAAATTCTAATCAGTTAAGTAGTTTATGGTGAGAAAGCAGAAATGTATTTCTAGCTATCACTTCATTTATTCAACAAGCACCCAAGTGCTAAATAGGGGCAAGTTTGGAGTTAAGCACATAAAGATGAGAAAAAAGCATTATTGGTGACCAACCTTATGTCACTTATCAATTAGGCGTTATAAGGTTTCCATCACATTTAAAGTTTCTTTTAAAATGCCCTTTATGTTCCCTTTTATCAATCTTTTTCTAAAGTATTAAACCTGTGAATCTGTATTTGATATATTTTGTGAAGAAAAACACTACAAGTAGAGAGAAGTTTCAAAAATAGAGGTTTAAAAATTTATTATTGGCTCCGGCCGTGCCCGGCGGGGCTCACGCGGCTGTCCCGCGCGCGGCAGGGCCCTGGTAGGCGACTCCCGGGGCCCGGCTGGCCCGGCCATGCCGCTGGAGACTCTGGACGCGCTATATGTGGCCCTGGAACTCGCCATCGCCGCGCTGTCGGTGGCGGGCAACGTGCTGGTGTGCGCGGCGGTGGGCACGTCTAGCTCGCTGCAGACTCCCACCAACTACTTTCTGGTGTCCCTGGCGGCAGCCGACGTGGCCGTGGGGCTGTTCGCCATCCCCTTTGCCATCACCATCAGCCTGGGCTTCTGCACTGACTTCCACAGCTGCCTCTTTCTCGCCTGCTTTGTGCTTGTGCTCACTCAAAGCTCTATCTTCAGCCTCCTGGCCGTGGCCATCGACAGGTATCTGGCCATCCGCGTCCCGCTCAGGTATAAGAGTTTGGTCACTGGGACCCGAGCAAGAGGAGTCATCGCAGTGCTCTGGGTCCTTGCCTTTGGCATTGGATTGACTCCATTCCTGGGGTGGAACAGTAAAGACAGTGCCACCAACTGCACGGAGTCCTGGGATGGAACCATGAATGAGAGCTGCTGCCTTGTGAAGTGTCTCTTTGAGAATGTGGTCCCCATGAGCTACATGGTGTACTTCAACTTCTTTGGATGTGTCCTGCCCCCACTGCTCATCATGCTGGTGATCTACATCAAGATCTTCATGGTGGCCTGCAGGCAGCTGCAGCGCATGGAGCCGATGGACCACTCCAGGACTACCCTCCAGCGGGAGATCCATGCCGCCAAGTCCCTGGCTATGATTGTGGGGATCTTTGCTCTGTGTTGGCTACCAGTACATGTCATCAACTGTTTCACTCTTTTTCAGCCAGCGCAGGCTAAGGACAAGCCCAAGTGGGCAATGAACATGGCCATTCTCCTGTCACATGCCAATTCAGTGGTCAATCCCATGGTCTATGCCTATCGGAACCGAGACTTCCGCTATACTTTTCACAAAATCATCTCCAGGTATGTTCTCTGCCAGGCGGATGGCAAGAGTGGGAATGGGCAGGCTGGGCCACAACCTGCACTCAGTGTGGGCCTATGACCCAGGCTCTGGCCTCTTGGAGGCCAAAGCCTCCAAAGGATAGGATACGATGGACTGATCCTGTGAAAGACAGCTACACCTCACAAGCATCTAGGCTCTCTTCTGAACACTTGTCTGGAGTTACCACATATCTAGCTAATATGTACATGCTGTTAGTAGACTCTAAGTGTCAACAAATGTATTTATGATTTTTCAGCTGCTCTTATTGTGTGGATGATGCTGATGGCTTGAATGGATTCTAAAAGACTTTTATTTTTGAGTCTGCCTGATTCATGGAAGAAAATGACTGAAATCTTTTACTGTGAATACTGTGAACTATTTTAATGCAAATATTTTTTAACTTAAAGGCAATGGAAGAATAAAAAGTTGGTTGTTCTAATGTAAACTTGTTCCCAGAAAGGCTACCAAGAATACTAAAAATGTAATTCTTTAATCAAGAAACTGCTGTATTAATCTGGGGATGATAGTCTCCTAAATTCTTAAGCAGAATTATCATCAAGTAACAATTTTAGGTTCCATTCTACTCCATATACAACTGTACTCTAGAGGAAGAAACTGGACAAACAGGGTTCCCTCCTCTACTGGATTCCCCCTTTTAGAGCTAGGTACTGAATTTTATTTCTCTCCTAAGTTCAAGTTTGGCAAAACTGCTGGAACTCAAAAGAGTGTGAGAATTTTCCTAAGCAAAATCATGTATTTGTGTATGTATATTCAGTGAAATAAACTTTTATTTAAAAAATTAAAAAAAAAAAAAAAAATTTATTATTTAAAACTCAAGAAGCCAGGCTCAGAAATGAGAAAACCATACTGCATTCAAAATACACATGTAAAAAAGCTTATAAATCTTTGTTTCATAACCCAACAATTTTACTTCGAGGCATTTATCTTTAAAAGAATTCCTTCAAAAACGTTCAAAGAGCTAAGCACAGTGGTACATGCCTACAATATCAGCAGCTCAGGAGGCCGAGACAGGAAAATTGCAAGTTCAAAGCCAGCCTCAGCAACTTAGTGAGACCCTATCTTGAAATAAAAAATAAAAAGGTAGGAGGGGCAGCAAGAGAAGGGAAGAACAGTGGAGGAGAAAGGGAGAAACAAGGGAGAAGAGTTGGAGCAAGGAGGATAAAGAGGAAGAGGATGAGGGAGGGGAGGGGAGGAAGGAAAGCAGGTGGCAAGGGGGACCAACAGGTACACTAGGAAGCCCTACCCCCAAGTGGCTCTATGATGTCTGCCAATTCTTTGCACATATTTTACTTAAATAACAGCATTCTGGACTGTCATTCGTTTCTTTTAATTAGTTTTTGTCAGCTAATAACTTGACTGGACTTTCCCAACTTTTGTTGAAAGCAAAACCTTGGAAACCACTGGAATTTCCAGATGTTCTAACCAGGCACTTGGGATCATTCCTTTTCCCCTTTTCTAGGAAATTTCCCAAGAAACCACTACCCAGGTACATTTGTGATATCTGTTACTCTTTATTTGAAGGCATATTTGCCAATATAATTTTTTAAAATTAAAACTTGTCTAAATAAATAAATAAATAAATGGATGGATGGGGATGTGGCTCAGTGGTTAAATGCCCCTGGGTTCAATCCCTGGAACAAACAAACAAAACAAAAAAATAAGGATATTTTACTGACTTCTTCAAAGCACAAATTCACCAAATTATCTCTACACTTTATAAGGCAAAAAGGTTCCCTGCTATCTAAACCAACGTATTCATTTTATAGATATAGACACTGAGAAATTAAGCTGATATGCTTTGAAATAAATTCATATACTTTCCTAGTAATCATGTACACTGGCATTGATCATTTGGACAGAAACACAAACAGTCTATTATGGTGAGGTAAATGCTTTAATTCCATTTTACAGATGGGCATGCTGAAGTTGAAGAATATGCCCAGAGTCATAAGGCTAATTAAGTGTCCGAACTTAATCTATAATGTGTTGTTTCCCCCAAATCAAGTTATTTCCAGGAAATAACTAGCAGTGAGTTATTTAAAATACATTAGCACAGAAGAATAGTGCAGACACTGAAGATAATAAAGACTAAATAGATATGTTGAATAAAAAAATAAAAACAACAAAAAAGAAATAGAATATAGATCTAAATAGAAGGTACTATATGGCATAGAGTCAAAGTGATGTTGTCTACCCAGGCAACAAGTTAGAGGCAATGTAAGTTACAATATTTAATGTGAACTTTATGTGATGTTTAAAAACCCTATGATGAATGAGCTAACTTATCAGGAAAACTGTCAACGTTGTTCAGATGATCAGAAGAGTGGGCTAAATACAAAAGTAATCAAATTTCAATTTTATAAGACTTATTAAGCCATGGTTTTTTACATTTTGGATCTCAATTTTATCTTGGGGCATCAGAAAGCACATAAACAGCCAGCATTCTGTACAGTGAAATTCTAATTCTGAATATAGACTCATCCAAATATTTCTAGAGAAGACAGGGTCCTCTATGGCAACTGGTTCTGAGTCCTTAAAATAAATGCTGTTTGCCATCTTTATGAATTATCAGTAGATTACTATACGAAAGCATCTAAAACAGTGCTCAATAAATGTTGGCTCACTTCTTTCTCTTCCTGGTTTTTACTTCCAATCTCCTTCACATTATACCAACCCGCCACTTTTGTTTCTTTACAAATCAATTATACTGTCATTGTTACATTTTTTGTAACAATGTGTTATTTATGCAGTTTATTCTCATTCTAAAGCAAAATGAACTTGTTATTTGTAAACGATTTATTATGGAGTCCTTCCTTACCTTAATCTAGAACAAATCTGCAATGCAGTAATCTTCAATAAAAAAAATTCTTATAGTCACCAATATTGGCTGAGGAATCTTCCAAGTATAAAATCCAATTTAGTGCTGGGGTTAGGATTTTGATTAGCTACTTAATTTTTATAATAAATTTGTTAGTATCATGGTCAGAACATAGGCCTAATAATCAACTGCCTGGGAAATCTCAGTTTTACCACTTAGCGACTATAGGAATTTATTTCTTCGTAGGTAAAAAGGGAATAATAAGAGTCTCAAGTTACTTAAAGAACTCCAATAATTAAATATAAAAAAATACATATTAAAGCACTTAGTGTAGCATCTAACAGAGAATTAAGTGTGCAACGCAAAACACATAATTCTCTTGAAAAAACAGAGAATCCTGGAGATAATTCAGAGCAGTGCTTTTCAAACTACAGGTTGACATCCAATGTGAAAACAGCTTCATGGGTAGGGACATACCTTTTTTCTGTGGAATAAAGTAAAAAATAAAATAGCACTGCACATAAGGGTTAAGTGCAGATCTCTGCATATGGATACTCAAGTCCCTTACACAAAATAGCAGAGTATTTGTATACAACTTCTTAGATACTTTCAATCTTTAGGTTGCTTATAATATCTAATACAATGTAAATGTTACATAAATATATGATACTGTATTGTTTAGGGAATAATGAGAAGAAAATGAAGTCTACATGTTTGGATGCAGCCATTTCAGGCATAAAACTATAGAGCACATAAATGAGACACAGGGGAACAATCTTGGAACCAGAGAATCTGAAATAAGGAGAGTCCACAGCAGGGTATGCCTGTTCAACACTTCATTCATGTGAATTTAGAGTAGTGCTTCTGCATGCCAAATTCAATCTTATACTTTCTAGAACAACTGCACCCGCCCCCCGCAATATTTTCAATTCAAGATTAGTAGAACCTGTGTATGTGAACAGTCAACCACATTGTTTTGTGAAATCTCTGTTTCAAATCAGCCAAAGAATCAAAGTCTTGCCCATACAGAGTAACAGCAGCAGCTGCCACTCCCAAAAGGTACAAGACCCCCTTTTAAGGTGTAAATACACTACAAAAAGAGCATATTTGCTAGTAGCAAATCTGAGTTTGGCTCTTTGTTCTGTTGTTTGTTTTAGTTGTGGTTACATATGCACAAGAACCTGAGTCTGAATTTAAGATGTAAATTCTTACTTGGGTGGATTGTGGTTAAAAAAATAGGAAAGCCGGGCTGGAGATATACCTCAGATGGAACAGTGCTTGCCTTGCATGCCCAAGGCTCTGAGTTCAATCCCCACCAAAAAAAAAAAAAAAAAAAAAAAGTAGAAGAAAGCAAGCCAATGATGACCCACAGAAAAAAAATTTTGTTTTACAAATGAGGAAAATAAGGCCCAAAGTACATTTCTTATGGACAAAGTTTTTTTTTTTTTTTTTAATAAATGCATCATCAAGTCAGAAAAAAAGGTCATGTTTTTCAATTAAGTTTTGGCTTTATACACCAAGTATTAAAAACCATAGTATTCCAATACAATCTATTAGGGGAAAAAATACCAGACACTGTGGTATTGTGAAGAGGTTTCACAAAGACCTGCTTCTGAGTATGGGCCAGCCATATAGATGATTCTGAGCAAATAACTTAACCTCTCTGAACCAGCTGTCACGTGTAAAAAGAGTATATTAACATCTACTTGATAGGCATCAAGGTATCAATTTCAGGTAAGAACTAAATGAGGTTTCCCACTTGGAATGACGACTAGAATCACAAGTGTTGGATAAACATTATTATTAGATATAGCACTCCCCTCACCATTATAGCCTGAATTTGTAATTCATCTGTCAATGGTGGGGGGGGGGGATCAAATCAGCCAAAGAATCATGAAGTCTTGCCCACACAGAGTAACAGCAGCTGCCACTCCCAAAAGGTACAAGACCCCCTTTTAAGGTGTAAATACACTACAAAAAAAGCGTATTTGCTAGCAGCAAATCTGAGTTTGGTTCTTTGTTTTGTTGCTAGCTCAATGACTACAAGAACATTTAAACATGACAATTGTCCTGCTTAAGACATATAGAAACTTGAGATACAAAATATTTTAAACATGATGAAGAAATACTCATCCCAATCTCTTATTCCAATAGTTCCGAGTGAAGATAAGGAACAAGGATATTTACTCTGTGACACTTGCAGAACTAAGTGTTTAGGGATTAATCAAAGGAACATGGTACTCTATTTACCAATAACATAAACACTGACAAGTGTTACTTAGTTCTGTGTTGCTGTACAGAAGACTACGTAAGTTTTATAGAAATTTGTTTCTTATATCTCTGGAGCTGGTAAGTACAATGTCAAAATACCAATATTTGGTGAAGGCCTTTGTGCTAAGTCATCCCATGCATGGCAAATGGCAGAAGGAAAGAAAGGTCAAGAACTAGAGAAAAAGAGGGGGGGTCAAACTTTCTTTTCTATTAGCTAACTTTCTCAAGAATGACAGTAATCCATTCATGAAGGCAGACCTAATCACCTCTTATTAGATCCCACCTCTGAACCTTTATGCACTGGGGATTAAGTTTCTGATACTTGAACTTCGGGGGAACACAGTCATACCATACAAAATTTAACCTTTCTAAGCTTCAGGCATTTTTTAAATTTTGAAAAAAATAGTGACTAGTACTCACCCCATCTCATAAAGTTGTCAGATAATGTATACAAATCTCTTGGCCCAGTACTTGACACGGCACAATACTTGACATGTAAGTGCTCAATAAATAATTGAGCAACATAACACACTTGAATCAAAGTGTGGAATATGATGTCAAGAAATTTGTAATGTTTTGAACAACCAACAATAAAAAATTAAAAAAAAAAATAATAATTGAGCAATATACTGTCCTAGGAATCTTAAACCATAC